CAGAGAAATCGAAATGAATATTAATATTATTATTATTGTTGTTATGATTAGCCTTGTTTCTTTGCCCTTATTTTTTATTCTCTTACCGTCGCTCTTCTTTCGGCACATCCCCGCCACATGCCGAGGGCCGGGGTCTAGCCATTGCTGACACGAGACCCTTTTTCATTCATGCCCAGTTGCATGCATCCCTTACCAGAGAGGCTATTGCTGACCGCGGGGCGTGGAGAGAGACCCTTCCTCTGGTCTCTGGTGCCGGGAGATCCTTGATTCGGATAACCGTCTCGTAAGAGCCGAGCATACGGTGTCTGCTCCTTGACAGCCGACCATGCGCACACACACACGGGAAATGATCCCAGGCGCAGGCGCCATGCTTTTCTCGATTCCCCCGGATTCTCGATGCAGGGCCTCCATGTACGTACCACCCTGCAGCGTCACATGGCTCGTTCGAGACGTGCCATCAGAAAAGAAGCAACCTCGAGTTGCCTGCTTCACGTTGCCTGCCGAACAACAAACACCAGCAGGCCTGTCGCCAGGCCTGTCGCAACCGACCCCGGGAAACTCTGTTGTACACTTCATCAATCGGCTTGCTCCTCGCCCAATTTCCCGTCCATGCGATTGCGACACACACATACCACACCGATGCGTGCACGGATCGATGAATGATGAGCAGCAGGCCGCGCTCGCCCGACATGGACGGCATGAGCGCTGGAGTGTCCTGTCCTGTCATGCAAGAATGAACCCAATGAAACCTGGGGTAGAAGACCGTGTTGGAACCTCTGCGCGCTGCTCGCAGGGATCCCCCGCAGCCCCCCTTGGCATATTTGACCGGCCGCCCGTGAGCTCGTTCAATCTGCGTCGTCTCCCTCTCCTTCCGGCCGGCGGCGGTCCCCCTGGTCCTCCCCCTCGTCCATGATCCCATCATTTCGTTCGAGAAGAAGGCGAGGGCGTACATGGATACTTTGGTGTCACCACTGCCGGTCGTCGGAAGAGTCGCGCCTCATCGCTGCCCACGGCATGTACCATGTACCATGTGCCATGTGCCATGTGTGGCCCGCGAAGCTGCTCGCGAGAATGCCTGCCGAGCGCCCCCTCTCCATGTCGCTCTTGGCTGTCCCGCCCTCCTACTTGGATCGTTCCGCCCGGGCCCCTCTCATTCAGTCCCTTGCCGTCCCTCTTTGCGAACTCGTGCGAGATGGGGAGATCCGAGGTTTCTCCTCTGCTCTCCATGTCCCGACGGAACGGGTTGGTAGTGGCTACCAGTTGCCAACCAGGCGTGTTGGTGCAGCCCGTCCTTTGTCCTTCCTCCGCTACGACGGCGCGGCATGCCGATGGGCGGGTTCGCGGGTGCGCTGGCCTGGAGGAGGCACTTTGGCAGGAGGAGGCACTTTGACAGGAGGAAACAGCGTGCCATCCATTGTTGGTGATTCAGGGTTCCGTGCTTGACCAACGTATGCACGGTGATTGATGGGCGAAGGACGTGGGGATTCGCATGCGCCTCCCCTTGCCTCTTGCTGTCTGCCTGTCTGCCCAATACGGCCCGCGCTGCTGGGATGCTTTCGGGTGCGTTTCGGGGGGGCATGTCAAGCACCCAAAAGGGCTTGATCGCCCCGGTTGTCTTCCCCGGGATGGTCACAATGGGGGGCCGGGCACGTCTTCGGCGGATGGAGGCATCGGATTCGTGGGATTATTCCCCAGAATCTCCCCTGTTGCTGTTTCGGGGTCGAGCATGTCGTCCTCTGTAGCAACGCGACGAAAAGGCGGAAAAGGGAAACTAATAAAATTATAATTTAACAATAATAATAATAATAATACAACTGGTACTATCCACACCGTCATGTCGGACTGGCGGAACGAAGATGTGCTGCGACAGGATCATCGCGCGGAAAACGGCAACAGCGCGTGCGCGATAGGCGGGAGGCCGAAGATCGCATCACACAGTTCGACGCGCCGCGCAGCACGAGCTCTCGTATCAGCGCGTCGCCACGGCGCTCTCTCTCTCTCTCTCTCTCTCTCTCTCTCTCACCTCGCACATTCTTCCAGGCCTGCCGTCCTCTCAGAAAGCGCGGTCGAGAGAAACCCACACAGCCACTGAGGATGGTCGTTCGGAATCTTTTTTTGGTTTTTGGTTTTTTATTCTTCTGTCTCCCCCAATGAGAGCGCGCGAAATGCGAAAAGGGTGGTCGAAACACCACTCTGATAGGCGTGCCGCTGTGTGCGCGTGGTGAGGTCTACGGACGAATCAGCGCCGCGTGCGACACGCGCGGGTGCGCGGCTGAGATGGTGGTGCTGGACAGAAGTCCTTCAGTGTTGGGTGGTGACCCTCCCCTTTTCTCTTGTTTCGGGCGTTGGGGGGGAGGTGTGATGGCCCTGGTGAGAGGTGGTTATCTTGGGATCTGTGTCGCAGGCGGTTGCGAGGCGTGGGGGTGTTGCGGTTTGGTATGTCCGGCGAAGGGCTGCTCCTCGAGGCCGTCACTGGCTTGTCGTGACTGGGCTATGTTCTGAGAGAATATCACACGCGGGCCATCACCGTGTCCTGTCAGTGTCGCGAGCTCAGCCTGTCTAGGCAGTGCCGCGACGTCCTTGATGAAGCTGGAAAGGGGTTAAGCCAGTGCTGGACGGCCATGGTTTGTGATAGCGGCACATCTGGATCACGACATGTCAACGCATCCGTCCTGAGCCCTGCTGGCACTTTTGATATTCACGTCTGCTCAAATTGTGACCTGTCGCCTGGTGGCATCTCAGCCAAGCGAGTAGGCACCCGCCGCCTGCGCCCCGGTGCGTCACCAAGGCTTCAACATCACTCCTTCTTTGCAGGTCCCACGCGCTTGTACTTCCTCTTGTCCTTCCGCGACATGAGCGCCCGGTCTCTCGTGCCCTTGCCTCCCTCCCAGAACCCGTGACCTTTACGCCCGATGACGCTGCGTCCGCAGAATCCGCACGCGTCGACGGCGTAACGCTGCTCTCGGCTGCACCACCCACACACCATGCGGCTCGCCCACTCGTTGACGTGATCTTCCGCCTCGTCGTGGCATCGATCGCACGCGTGCACGCGGCTGCAGCAGCTGAAGCGAAACCACCGGTAGCTTTTCCTGTAGTGCGCACACGCGCCCCGGGACGGCAGCGGGTCGCCCGCGTGCAACCCGAGCTTCTCGGCCCTGGCCCGGACGACCCCGGCCGCCGGCGCCGAGAGGAGGCCCGGCGTGTACGTTTGGAAGCGCACGTCGGGGATCTTGAAGGTGAACTTGGCGTGGCACGACCGGCAGACGTTGGAGGTGGCGTCGCCTCTGATAGAGACGAGTCCCGGTGCCGCGGTTGAGCACTTGGCACATGTTGGAATAAAAGTCGATGGCAGCATGTCGCCGACTGATGCGCCGGCCACGTCGAGGAAGCCGGCACGCGACGAGTGCGCATGGACGAGCTGTGCGCGGAAACGGGCTGCAAGGCCGGCGGCGCACTGCGGCAGGAG